TGCCGCTAAGCCTAATAATTTTTTTGATGGCGGTCATTGCTTGTTTACATTTGAAACAGCAGGATAGTGTATTTGTTGCCAATCTAGAAAAACTTAGCTTCGCAACAACAAAGATAACGCCTTCATTTATTATTGCGATTAAATCATGCTTAATCCCTTCTGGAATTTTTTCGAGAAAATAATTGTTTAAGATTTACTTCGTAAGTTTTAATACATGATTTTTTGAGTTTATGTATTTTTTGCCTTTTCGCGAATTGAGAACTGAATTAATTGAATGAGAAATACTCAATCGTCTGTGAAAAACTGCTTTTTTTTTTTTTTTTTTTTTTTTTTTAGTTTGCTTGCTTAATTTTTTTATAATTTTTAGCTTTATTATAAGTATTTGAATTTATGCCAAGATTAGATAATTATTTAAATGATATAAATTCTGTGCATTCTGAGTTATAATATGAACGAAATATAATACTGTTAAGTGAACCTAGCGCCAGAGGGTCGCTATGGTAAACAAATAGCGTGAAGTTTTAAGAATGCATTTATTCTATTGTGGTTCATGCGCTGTCGGCGAACTAGATTTCATTCAATCCAATAAGTTTAAATGAAATGTAAAAAAAAATGCGCCTAATTTAATATTCCGTACAAGGAAGTCATGTGGTTGTATACATCAGATTTTTTATTTTAGGACCATGGGTATCAGAGATGACTCAATATTTATAAGCTATACAAAATCGTATCCTTAAATAACGGCCTTTACTGTGTCTCATTTATCTTATAGGCAGAGCTTAATTAATAAGTCACTAGTGCATAATCCCTCCTATCATTCATACACTATGTACACTGCGAGAAAAATGGAACAGTTTTATATTTCCCTTTCTACTGGGCCAGATTATATTTGTACATAGCATCATTCTAACATAGATATTTTGACCCAAAATCGTACATTTTCTGAAATGACATGCCAATGTTTTTTTCCAAATTTTGATTCTACGACTCAAATTATGTCTAAATATTACATTTTGTAAAATTTGGTGAGAAATTCAAAAATTTATCTTGGCGTATTTTTTTCAGTTTTCGCCCAGAATAATTTACTTGGCGAACTTCTTAACTTATAGCAACTTATTTTCCTTTTCTATTTTTCATTGTAAACGAGCGGAAAAAACGTCACCGTGCAAACTTTCAAATAATTTTTACAAAGATCGTAAAATATACTTGGCGTTATTATCGCTTATAACAAATATGCTAAATTTCAAAACGCGCCAATCTGTAAATTCACGTAGGAAATTTTGAATAAAAAAATCTAATTTTTTGCAGGTATACATAGAACTACATCTACTTTAAGATAATGGTAAAAAATTTATAAATTATAATTCAAAAATTGTATCGAAAAATTTATAAAAATTATTTTAAAATACCAATTTTAAAAGTAAATCATAAAGAATAGACGAATTTATTTGGAATGAACCTAAATTTCAAAATGTGAAAGGAAGAATCAAATATGTTTAATAAAATAGGAGATATTAATAAATATATATCAAATACAATTAACACTGAGGAGCTAAAATTTTGAGAGCTAATGTTTTAAAAACTTGCGATTTTTGCAAAACTTGGCAGTTTGGCATAACTTGAGTTGTAGAATAGAAATATGGAAAAAAATTGGCATTCATTTCCTAAGACGTCCGATTTTGTTTCAAAATAACTATATAAGAACAAAGCTATATATAAATCTAAAATATATCCCAAGTCGCGATTTCGAGACGTGAAATACGCAAGTTGAATTTCGTTGAAAAGAAAAATTCGAATTATAATCCAAACTATATTTATAACCTTATTTTGAACAGCTGCTAATGGGCAGCTGCTAGCTTACTTTGAACAGCTGCTGATAAATCTTCAATTTTTATTCGTTCGTGTTCGCGACTAAATATTGAATATACAGCAAATACTGTAGAATTTTATATAAGTGTATGTGTTTTATTTTGCTAGTGTTATCGCATCATATATGATAAAAAAATATACTTGCTAACATAAGCAGCAAGAATATATATCTCCGCAGATGAATTGACATCAATGGAAATTTTTACGTTTACTGAAAATTAATGCTTAATAAATTAATTTATTTTCAAATGGAAATTCATAGAAATAAAATAAATTGCTTTTTTATTTAGTATTTTATCTGTACTACGAAAACACACTCGATTCTAGAAGTCGTCCTTTCAAAACTTCCCTTAAAAATGTGTCGCTGTAGGAAAATATTGGATTATGGGTTTTTTATTATATTTCTTCATATGAAACAAACAAAACAATGCACTTAAACGAAAACGGCGAAAAACAAATTTGTGTGGTATTTGCTTGGTGCAGATTAATTATGTTTTCAGTATTGCTATTTTATTTTAGTGCTTTTGAATAAGTTTGTATTTTGTGGCCAACCAGCAGCAGAGTAGTTAAGATCGTTGACTATTATTGTTTTACTGAGGTTTTAAACACTGCAAGTAGCCTTCGTTTCGTCATTTTTCCGACGTATTAAGTGAGTACAAAAAAGTGAGAAAGTGAAAAAAACCTCCACGAAGGCACTTCTCTTCTGAGATCGGCCCTTGCCAGTTAATTATAAATTTCCGGATTCTGATTTGAGCTGAACTATGGAAAAATAATAATAAATTAGCCAATTTATTGAATTTTTATAAAATTTGAAACCTTCGTACATTTTATCTAGAACATTTTTTTCTAGTTCTTTAGTAAAATATCAGTTGCTTAATTGCACGAGTACATGCAATATACATCAATAACACTCAAGATAATAAGAAGATGCAAAATAGGCTTCTTCATAAGTAATTAACAGAGGAAAGTCACAAAAAATTTTAAAGAAAGCCTATAACGATCACTTTTCCTAACATTTGGAATAAACTAGATTATTTTGAACTTCCCGATGGCTGCATTTTTATGGGCAGAATTTAGCGAGCGATCTGAGAATGGATATGCATATTAACGAGCATTCATACCATTCTAAGTATAGCAACAAGAAGAAGTTATCGTTATTCACTATGATATCGAATTCTCCTGCTCTCATTTGTGATTACCTCTTTCCCATGCCATTGCGGATTTCCTTTCAGCATTTTAAAAGCCTAAAGCCTTGACTTTTAGAATAAATGTAGACACTGATTTCAGAGAGTGTTCGTGCCCCAAAGGTGAGAGTAGATTCGTATAATGTTTGAAATGCATAGAAACGCTGACTTCTCTCATTTGCGTCAGCGCGAGAGAGATTTTCAGAAGCTCTTTGGATCGGCGGTTTCTGTCAAGATTCATCGTTAAAATGCGAAGCACTCCTTCAAGACACCGGCAGTGGAAATGTTAACACTGCACTAAACAATGTCTATATCTCGCTGTCAGCTTTTGAAAAGAGGAGTTTCTATTTTTTTATGGATGGAAAATGTTGCAGTAAACGAAGGCGATGTGAAAGTGTTTCAAAGTTCTACCCAGCGTATATCAGAATTTTATTCCTATAGGATTTTTTTATTTTTTATTTTATAAATATATTCTTTTCTACAACAAGCATGTTTACCTACGTTTCACAATGAATAATGACGTTAGATAGAAATGCATATACAATGGAAATTTCCAACTACTTCGGTATAACTTCAATACTCAAAAGCTTAGAGTAACATACACCAATAGGATAAACATAAAATCTGTCTTTATAAAAAGAAACCGTATATGTAATTACTCATGACTTACATTGTTATGAATGTCCATTCTTAACAATGTAAAAGAAAAATACAAATTTTAGTAAGTTAACTAAAGGTAAATATATAAAGAATTATTACAAAGAAAACTCTAGCGGACGCCTGTTCGTCATCACTGGATTTAGGCGACTGGGTCTCGTGCCTCTACTCAGCCGCCCTTTCTTTAAATGGCAGGAACATAAGGAATTACTGCATTCTCCTTTAGCCGTTTCGTGATCTAAAAGCGTAGTACATAAATCTGGCTTTGGAATGTACATAGTTCGAATCTCGGCAAGCGCACAGTTGATCTTAAATATTTTATGGATTTGAAAAACCTAATAAATCTATAAAATTATCAAAGCAAATTTAAGTTAAAATTTGGAACCATTAAGATGTTATATTAATATTTATCAACTCTTCTTCCTTATCACTAATTGATCAATCTACTGAGAAACTTTTATTACTACTCCTGAAACTGCTATTACTGAGAAAAAATTATAAATGAGCCTTGAAAACGAATTTTACAGCGCATTTTAAAGGCATATAAATGATTCTTATCTTGATCAGCTAGTGGACATAATCCTCACATCAATGGCATAACTTATGTCCAAAATGCATTAATAATTATTGTCCATGTCTGCCAGAATTGTACGACTTGTTGATTCAGACATACAAAGGAAATGGCAGGCATAGCTAATTTTTGTGGGATTTTTGAATCTATGAAATATGATTGTACTCATGATCTTTTTTTCGGACAGAAGAGCGAAACTATAGCTTTTTAAAATTAATTAAGAAATACAATACCTAAAATATTTTTTCCGAAAACTAAACCGCATAAGAAAAATTGCATCAACAGTATGCAAAACGAGAAAAGAAACTTAAAAATATCAAATTCGTATTCTGTAATCATGATTATGTACGGATACATATGAGCAAAATATATAATTACCACCAAATATTCCTTTATAATTTTAACACAACCGATCATTAAGAAAATGTGATAAAATCATTTTAAAACCCATATGTAGAAGTATGATTCATCTCAAAATTGTAATATGACTGAAAAAAATTTACACAATTGAAGTTATCAGTATTGCATTGACTTATAAAGATCACCTACTAGTCTATTGCTTGGTGTAATTTGACATAATAAAATTTGTATGCGCAACAGAAAACGTTTATAGTTTAAAAAATAACTAAAGCGAATTTTTGAAATGATTACACTTCTTTGTTCTAATATTAAATTTTCATTTGATGAGTAATTCAATTGCAATGTCTGTTTTATTGTAGGTGCTCTTTTTACCGAAGACCAGAAAGACAGTCCATCTGAGCTTGCTTTCAAGTATTCAGTACACAGAATTAACAATGATAAGACACTCCTAGCAAACACAACTCTCGTATACGACATACAGCACACACCTAAGGACGACAGTTTTCATGCTGCAAAGAAAGGTAAGTGCATGCTATTTAGTCGAATTCTTTTAAGCTGTACAAAAGTTAGCATTCAAAAAGTTTGAATAGAAAACATATCCTGGCTTAATTGCTTTTCTCAGTCCTCATCAACATTTCATTAATTATTTTCCTTTTTTAATTATTTCGTATTGCCAGTGAAATGTTACATATTCTTTATAAATCCACTATTTTAAGTAGTTACTCCACATTAAATTTAGGATGTATGTTTTATTCTGGATTTGATCATTTATGTCATAATTACCTTTTATGCGAAATTCATAGGATATGCAAATCATTACTTTTTGATAAATTCTTAAAATATTTACTGATAATCCCACATAGTCAATGATGTGATATATAATATTATCAGATAAGACAGCTTTCCTAAAAGCTCGTTTGACTCTTGCCTTCTGCTTTCGAAAATCCTAACAGCGGCGCAATTCAAATATTATAGTTTTGATAAGACTGTATGAGGATTTTTTAATATGACTTTAGAAATTAAATTATTTGCTATTACATTTCTCATTATTCATTAACTGAAATAGAAAAATTTTAAATAGGTATTTTCTCCGTCTGGCGTAATTTAAATAATATAATACTAGACAATTTTGTTAATCCTAACAGAAAATAGATACCATACTTGCTGTGCTGGTTTAATATAAATTAGATATGTTTTAATTATATCCAATTAGGCTTGCATAGTTCTACTGCTTGTATAATATTGTAACTACTCTTAAAAATCTCCTAGATAAGTTTAATTGGAAATTCTTTCGTTAAATCAATCATAAATTTGATTACATTAATTAACTTAATTAACTTTGCTGGCATGTACATCTCCTTAACATAATTAGGCAGTTGTATGAATTAATAAATCCTTCTGAGAAGAGAAGTTTACATTTTCAAATCAGTCACGCACTGTTTGTATATTTATCAGTATTCAAATTTGCCTGGTGGCAAAGGGACTACAATATACTGCTCACAGGTGTTGAAATTCTCACAGAAGCGTTTTGAGGCGGATCATAGCCAAGTTGTGAAGGTGCTTAATCAGACATCTAAGGGGAACAGAAAACGATTCAGCGAACGCGTAAAATGAATATTTGAAGTCCTGAAGTTGGCGGCAGCGTTAACGATTTACTAACGAATGATACCACTTAAGAATGTTTAAAATTACACAAAAACATTTCATTTTTCAGGTTTTGCACTCTAAGACACTTAGGTTAATCAGTTCGTAGATGGTACTGATTAAAAGATTCATTTCAGTTTTATATATGTGTTTGATGCGTGTGTATGTGTATGTTTGAGTATGTGTATCTCCAGCATAAGAGCATTAAACTCACAGCGAAATTGACAAGAACTAAAAGTTTAAATTAAACCGCAAACAGATTAAAACAAAACGCTAAACAAACAATGTAGCGTGTAAATTAAACAGTTAAGTTAAAATAATTTAAATTTCATCCTAAGGAATCGTTAATTTACGAACAATAATGCACACTTGTCAAATCAGCTAATAATTTAAAAGTTTAACTACTAAACCAAATAGACCAAATAGATGTTCACATCATCAAATTCATACTGTTAAAAATATACAAATTGATCTGTAGAAATACTGGGCCTTTTTGACTTAATAGCAAATTACAAAGCAAATAATTCCTTTCTGAAAAATCTACGTTTCGCTAATAGCCCCAATCTGATTTCAAAATCAAAATTTTAGCTAATAGTCACCGATTTCCATAATTTCGTTCATCTGATACAAACACAATGATACCTTTATGAAACGGTTGCTTTGAATTCATTCATTCTAGTACTAGGAAATATGTTTAGTTATTTTATTGTATCATGCATCATTATTATTTTGATTTTTTGCACCTGCGTTTTATATAGCTAAACAGACTTGCATATCTGGTCGTGGCTGAGTACTCAGTAGCCTTATGGAACATCTACAGATGGAGGACAAAATAATAGGAACACCTGTAAAATAATGGAAAATCTTTATTAATAGGGCTTTGACTGAAGTAAAAATTAAATGCGATGTGGGGTTGATGCATAAAGGACATGAACAATATTTTAATGAATATTAAGCCATTCCTCCTGCAGAGCGGTCTCTAATTCCGAAAGTCCGAATGGAGGTGGAAAACGGGAACGAAGTTTGGATTCCAAATATGCCTATAAATCTTCAATAATATTCAAGTCCGGAGACTGAGAGGGCCAAGCGAGATGTTCAATTGCATCGTCATGCTCTTCGAACCATTTTTGAATACACCTAGCAGTGTGTATAGGGGCCTTGTCCTTTCGAAAAAGCGGTCGCTCTCCAGGGAATACAGTCTGGACTTGATCTCCTGGAATGCTTAGATAGTATTGGATGTGATCCTCCCATGCAGAATAACAAGTGGCCCAAGAAGATATCTGTTGGTTGTGCATTAGCACTGAAAGCGTAATGAGTATGTTTCCTCAAGCACAGTTTTCATTAAAGAATCATAAGTCAAAAATTAACTACGAAATCTTTATTTAATAAAATAGGATAATTTTGCTTAACTTAAGCATAACAAAAAGTAATAATCTTCAGAAACATTAAAACACTGAGGTATTGAAAAGGAGATAACTTACATAGAATCATCATCAGTCCTAAATATCAGGCTTACCTATTTTAGGCAATAAAAGAAAAGAGAAACAGCAACAGGAACATACTTTGGACACCGTACCGAAAGAGAAGGTACTAACTGCATTAGACCTTTGGCCGTGATACACTCCATGTAGCTAAGGCGAAAGTCAAATATACTGCATTGCACACGAACTTTACTTTCTCTTGCCAATATATATATCTTGGCGCACGTTCGTTTCGTATGCCTTTCGAGTTTCATTAAGAAAAATACCTAAATTTATGCTAACAATATCGCACCCCATACCATAATGGCGCCACCCCCATGCTTCACAGTCGGCAAGAGGCAGTCAGGATGAAACGTTTCTTTGAGCGTTCTCCAGACATAAACGCGTCCGGTCATCTGAAATCATGGAGGTAGGAAAGGAAGGAGGGGCCAACTAGCACTAGAAGTGAAGCACTACTTGAAAGCTTGGGTCACCAGATGGGGTGTTCTTTGTTTACATTCAGAAGCTCGCTTGACAGGGTTCTGATAGTATTTCGACACACGACAGTTCCATACAAATCCAAAAAGGGACACTTTCGCATGAAAGAAACATTCATAGTGCGATGGATAATAGCAGTTTGTATAGTTTAGTGACATTTACGCAAAAATCACATCTTGGTTATTTTTCGATAACTAACAACAGCGATTTTGATTATGAATTTGTTTTATAAAATTCTAAGCTGTTGAACTACAAAAATATAGATTTTAAGAAAAAATGTTATGCTTAAAGAATGAAAAAATACCTTACGGTACATTTAAAATTGTATACGTGTTTCGATACCCTTGATAGAGTATTCGCTACTTTTATTTTATTTTCCAAACGCCAAAATGTTTTAAATAAAACAAATTTTTTTCACATCCATATATTATTGTAACATGTACCTTTTAAAGTTTTTAGAGGAGAGGCTTTACTGCTGCTCATTTTAAACTCATCTTTTTAATTTTATATATCTGAAAAATAACCACTTTGGGCTTACATGTTTTACTTATTTGGGTTAATTAAAAATAAAATTACCATCAAATGCTGCAATCCTCGTCAAAATCAATAAATATACACACAGATATGCCAATAAGTTAGCTTTCCCTTGATTTGGAACCTCACATTTGTGTTATGTCGCGAATTTCAATTATTAATATGTGTTTCAAGTTATTATTATTCTAATATTTTTATTTGTATTCATGTGTATTTTAATCTGGAAAAAAGTAATCTTAAGCTCTTAAGGTTTTATTTAACTCGTTATTCTTGAGTAGGAATTGTAACAAAGGCGAGAGAGGGTTGCAAGGAAACACATCTGGTTGATTGTTTTTATGGCCTTTTTACTAACAGTGGAGGCAGTAGGGTGTGTGTTGTCGCATTTTAGCTAATGCGTGTGAAACGGAAATCGCCTTCCTATCGCTTTGTTAAGGTTGCAGTTTTCTTACTTCAAGACAGTGGGGGTTAAACTAACCTTAGGTAATTGGATGCTCGTAAAACTTAGTTTCGCTTGTTAGTTGGGGGGTTCATTTTTTTTCTCACGTTATGTGTGCAGATGTTTTTCGAATTGCATTGTCAGATTTTCTGGTGTTTGATTCGTCATGGGTGTGTCATTTTCTCAATTTAGATAACATAAAATTCCGGGATTGGTAAGATTTAATTTTATGATTTTTTTGAAAGCCTATGAACTCACAGAGGCGGAGAAACCGAGATTTCCTGGGTGCTTGCACTAGGCTAGAGATCATTCTGATTCTGAGTTTCAAGAAGAGTAAGAGAAGAAAACGAGTGGCGGGGGCTTGACCCCTTGCGTGTCTTGGTCTCGCGAATGCCGTGTACCAGCGGGCTGCGGACTTGAATTCCTGTCGGCTTTCAGCTGATGAGAATTTTGCTCGAGTTGAGAATAAGTGCTTATGCAAAATATAGCTTTGCTGCTTCTTCGTTATATTTTCCCAAAAACTTTAATTTGACATTTTCGAGGTTACCTTAATACAGGTGTTCGTCCCGGATTTCCCTACCTTTTCCTAATACCAGTATTTTTTTCCTGTGGGTCTTGAATTTATTGGAGTGTTCTTGATTTAAAAGAAGCATCTTGATACCTGTGTTTTCCTTGAGTCTTGATTTTGTTGAAGGCGTAGCGTTCCTGGTTTAAGAGCAGCTGGACTATCTGTTGAACTATCTAGAACTCCGTATTAATCAGTCGATGATGGCATTCCCGATTTCTTCGAAGGATCAACAAAATGAGTTGACAATCTGTTGAACTAGTAACACTCCATAGTAATCAGTCGATGATGGTATAGGAGTTTAATGTATGAACTTCGCCCTGTGAGTGATTTTTCCTTTTTGTCTTTTCTATTTAAACTAGTGAGTTATGTAATGTAAAAAAA